CCTCCCTGAGCTATGTCTGCTGTTTGGACTTGCAGACTTCAAACATGACTGGGGGATTCCTGAAAGACAAAAGAATTCAGGGCCGAGGCTTGGATCTCAGTCAAAAATAACTAATGTCTTCATCTGAGGCAGGCAAAGGCGGCAGCCCAAGGCCAATTTGCTGGTTTCTTGGAAGATTGGAGCTACAGGTGCTGAGAGGGTCAGCCCAGGTTTGCTTTGGAGAAAGAAGGAGCCATGGAGGATGTGGACCTGGCTGAGGGAGATGAGAGGCCAAATGGAAGAGGTTCTAATAAAAAAGCCACCCCTCTTTACCCTCCTTTTGGGTGCTGTGTTTGCTTTGAGCCATAATTACAGCCCTTAATGTTGCTGCCTGACTTCTTATTAGCTTAAGGTATCCACAAACAAACTGCTCAGCTCCCTTCACCCCTCTTCTTCCCTCTCCTGGCAATTCCTTCTGACTTTTCAATGGTAACCCCATGTTTTAGCTCCCAGATTCAAAACATCAGATCTCCCTCTCTTGGAGGGTGCTTTGGAGGATAGCACCCCTAATGCTCTTCCCTCTTCCCCCCTGTTATCCCACTGGGCTGTAATTAGAGCATTATCTAATTTTCTCCCAGGAGGCCAGAGCTTGGCTCTTATCTAGCCCTTTGTAGACTCAGCACCTTGGCCAGGGGCTGGCAAATAATAAACACTCACACCATGGTAGCTGAATGGCACTGTTGAGCTGCTGCCAACTTAATCCTCCTAAAATGCCGCTCTAGTTACAAGCCGTCATGCCTCTCCATCACCCGCTGGGCAAGGCTCAGCCTCCTCAGAATGGCACTCAAGGACTTTTCCACATGGTCCGCCTCACCTGCCTTGCCATCCTTACTTTATGCTCAGCCACTTAGTGGTCTTTGCATAGTTTACAGCTGTCCTACCTCTGAACCTTTGTCACCATGGTTCCCTCCATGCAGAAGCCCCTTCCATATTCTATCCCAAAGCCATCTCATTTTCAAGGCTCATCTCCACTGTATGCCTCTGCCCCTCTGAATGGAGCTCAATCCCTTAGAATTTGGACCTCTCTTCCACAGTGCTATAGCTTGAATATTCAATGTCCCCAAAAGCCCATGTGTTAAAGGCTGGGCCCCTAGCTTTGAGCTATTGGGAGGTGATGGGAACTTTAACAGGTGGGGACTACTGAGAGGTCTTTAGGTTATTGGGGGGTGGAAACTTGAAGGGGATTATGGGACCCCTATCTCTTCCTGGACTTCCTTTTGCTATTCTACCATGAGGTAAGCAGTTTTGGTCCACTGCTCACTCGTGCAGTGACAAGTGCTGCCTTGTCACAGGCCCAATCAATCATGGGCTGAAACCTCCAAAACTGCCAGCCAAACTAAACCTTTTCTATTTATAAATTGATTACCTGAGGTATTTCATTATAGTGACGGAAAGCTGACTAACATATCCAGGCCCTTATCCTGTTCTGCATTGCCTTAGAATGTCTTGTTGGGAACTTCAAATAGGGCATAGGGTTAGGAATACAGCTCAGTGTCTGCCTAGCATGAGCAAGGCCCTGGGTTTGATCCCCAGTACAGCAAACAAAACAAAACAAGAGGGTGTGGAGTGTTGACAAAATGCAGAGCGAATCAGCCTCATTTGCTGTGCCCTTCATTAGACCCCAAGCATTCTCCCAGGGCGGGTCCATGTGCAGCATGCCGAAGGCATCTATGAGTGCCTGGCCATGACAGCTAATGAATGTAAATGTGTGCTAGCCCTTAGGCTGTCTTAGGTTGGAGTGGGACAAAAGCTTTCAGGTGGATCCCATACTACACTGTCTGCTGAGGAGCAGATTGTCCTAGCTACAGATTCCCTTGGGGCCAATGGGCCTAGTGGGTTGGCTGGTGAGGCTGAGGCAACACTGGGGACATAAGGTGGAATGGTGGCCTCAGGTTCATAGAAGTTGTTGAATGTCCCAACTCATCCTAATAGTCTCCAAATCCAGATGGCCATCCTTCTTCCAGAAGGGATTGAGGGGAAAGTGGTCTTGTAGAGGGAGGACTCTGGAGAGCCCAGGATTCTTTCCCAAAAGGCTTCTAGAAACACTGTCAGCCAAGATGGGCACTGGTTCCTAGGGGCAGAAGGTACTGGGACTTAAATTCAGGGACTTCACCTTGAGCCACTCCACCAGCCCTATTTTTGTGAAGGGATTTTTTGAGATAGGGTCTCAAGGAACTATTTTCCCGGGCTGGCTTCGAACCATGATCCTCCTGATCTCTGCCTCCTGAGTGGCTAGGATCACAGATGTGAGCCACTGGTGCCCGGCTTCAGATCTCTCCTTTTGTTCTAACTGCTGCTGCCCTCATTACCTCTTCTTTGGATGACACCCCTCCTGTCCCTATGCTCAGGACAGACTCCTGTCTAGCCTCTGAACTGGAGTTAGAGGGATCTTTTATTTATTATTATTAGTATTAATTATTATCATTATTATTTGGTGGGACTGAGATTTGAACTCAGGGCTTCATACTTGGAAAGCAGGTGCTCTACTGCTTGAGCCACACCTCCAGTCCATTTTGGTCTGGTTATTTTGGAAATGGAGTCTTAAGAACTATTTGCCAGGTCTGCCTTTGAACCTGGACATTGTAGATCTCAGCCTCCTAAGTAGCTAGTGTGAGCCACCAGAATCCCAGCACTTATTTTTGTGTTTTGAGATGGGGTCTTGCTATGTTGGCCCCAGTTCCTGGGTTGAAGCAATCCTCCCGCCTCACCCCTTGGACTAGTTGGTACTACCAGCACGTGCCACTGCACCCCAGCTAGGTGGGATCATTTAAAATGTGACTTTCCTGGTCAGGGTCCTTCAATGGCTCCCCCATTGCCCAAATCCAAACTCTTTTCTCAGGAAACTCACACTACTGCCCCCTGCAGCTAGACTCTTTCCATTGGGAGTCTTGCTCTAATTTCCACCCAAGCCAAATTGCTTATTGTTCCCCTCCCATATCACACTGCTTTACCACCCAGCCTTTGCCCATGCTGGTCCCTCTGCCTGGAATGCCTCTTCATCTTCCCACATTGCCTAATTCTGGGTCACATCCTTTGGGAAGACCTGGATTTACTCCTTTTGGCTTCTATACTTCCCTGGAATCCAGAACTTATCCCTATGCTTAACATGACTCTCTCTCAATTTATGGAGGGCAGGGTCTGGATCTTATCCATCTCTGTATTCTCAAAGGTCTATCAATGATACTTAATAGCTCAATAAATATTAGGGATTTAACTGAGCCTGCTATGGTCCCGCCCATCTGAGGTGATGACACAGTTGGATTGATAAGAACTGTCCCTGGAGAAGAGACAGAATCCAAGGAGAATCTGAGATCAGAACCAGCTGGGCTGCTCAGGATCTCAGAAAAGAATAGCCAGCTCCTCTGTGTGCCCTTCTTCCAGTTCTCCTAGAATCAGGCTTCTGAGGCCATCTCTCCAGAACCAAAGATCTGAGCATAACTTGAACCCATGCAAGTCATGCAAATGACAGCAGAGGGTGGGAGAAGTAGTGATACTGGCCTTAGGGTCCCCAGCAGTCACTTATCCTTCTAGATTTCCTTCCACAAAGAAGTCAGGCTCTGTTCTGTCCTCCCGAAGGCTGTTTTCAAAAATCACACCCCATGCAGACAGTTTTATTTACAAGGAAATCTTGGCAGGATCTTGTCTTGTTAGTAGAGTAGAGATGGGGGAGGGTGGTGAGAAGCAAAAATAGTTGAAATGATCACACTTTCTGAAACGGAGATAAAAATTGGTGTCTGTAGCAAAGTCACCTAATTAGAATAGAGCTAATTTCCTTCTGTATTTAGGGGGAGCAGTCACTGCTGGATGAAGATGGTTACAGGTTGGATCCCAGGGCTGCTGTTCTGTGGTTATGTGTTTGCCTTGCAAAGCCGAGAGCATTAATTGCAACTCACCAACAGAAAGAGGCTCAATTTCTGACAGGAAGCTGAGAGGGGTAAATGGTGGGAAGAGGTGGAAGGGCACAGCTTTGGTGCTGGGTGGGGGACTGACTGGAAGATTTAGCCAGGAGTGAGTCCCTGAGCCTCCGGTGGAGAGCTGGGCACCAGTCCCAGGGGGCCACTGGTGACACGTTACAGGTAGATCCTTTGCTTAGAGGAGACAGTATTTCCTGGGGTCTTTTCCTTAAAAGATCCCTGTTTTCCTAACTTCATTCCTTTTTAGTTTCTTCATCCTCCTCTTCCAGGTGAGGCACTTTCCTGGGCTCACTCACTGTGGTCAAATGAAGCCTGGGCAGAGTCTCAACAACTCTGGGTGCAGGGAGGACAAGGTTTAGGGTTTGGGGTTCCGGACTCTCCTATCTGACTTCTCCCATCCCGAGGCTTCCCTGGACCTTCCAATAATCTGAGTCCACAGTGAATAGAGGCATAAGGGTCGGTGGTTGTGGGGGATGCAGTCCTCACAACGTCCCGCCCCAATTCACTCCTAATTAACCCTGCGGTTGCTAACTTCACAAAAACGTCGCCTCTGCCTCCGACGTATAATCTGCTGCCTCCAAGTGACCGTTAAACCACCCGGTGAGGGAGACTCGGAGCCCAGGACCCCGAGTGGAGGCTGCTGGTAATGGGGAGGAGGACAGCGTGGTCCCCATCTATGCCCTGGGCAGTGCAGCCACTTCCCCGCCAGCTCCGCCGCAGCCCTCCCTCCCTCCCGGGGTGGCGCAGCTCCGACCGACTGGGCCCGGGCGGCGGCGTCCGGGTGGGTGGGGCGGGGGCCGCGGCCCCGTGAGCAGCCCCGCCCCCGCCCGCGCCGCCCCCGAGGAGTCCGCTGGGAGGTGGAGACTCCAGCGCAGAGCGGGGGCCGCGCGGAGCAGGAAGGGGGTGCTGGGAGCAGCCGGGCCGGGCCGGGCCGGCCCAAGGGCGCCTTCGCCTGGGAGCTGGGCGCGGGGCCGCGGCGGAGGCGGAGGCCAGCGGGCTGGCGAGCGCGAGAAGTTTGGCGGCCCAGGGCCCGGCGTCCCGCGGTGGCAGAGGCCGGGGCCATGGGGGCGGCCAGGGGCGGCCGGGCGGGGGCGGTGCGGCGCGCACCAAGCCCTTAGAGCGGCGCGGCCGCGGCGGCGCAAAGTTAGCCCGGCGGCCCGGGACGAGCGGCGCAGCCACTGGAGCGCCCGCCTCGGCCATGGGCGAGCACCCCAGCCCGGGTCCCGCAGTGGCTGCCTGCGCCGAGGCGGAGCGCATCGAGGAGCTGGAACCCGAGGCCGAGGAGCGGCTGCCCGCGGCGCCCGAGGACGTGAGTGTCCCCTCCTCCACCCGGCAAACTTTCTGCGGGGTGGGGGGGGGTCTTGGGGGAAAGCTGCCCCGACTCACCCTCCCCGCGGGGCAAGTTGGAGGTTTCAAGGTGATGCGGGAGCGCCCGGGATTGGCGGGGTCCCCGCGAGCGAGAAGGGACTGAGGGACCGGTCTCCCTCAAATGCACGCGCGCGCACCCCTCCCCCGCTCGGGCTCCCGTGGCTTCCCTGCGGGACACAGCCCCGCCGCTGCACCAGGGACCTGTCGGCCGCGGGAGCCCCCTCCCCGCGGCTCGTGCAGTGCCTGGGACACGGCGTTTTCCTGCAGAGGCGGCCGCGTCACAGCAGTAACTCCCCCTTTCTCTCTCTCTCTCTCTCTCTCTCTCTCTCTCTCTCTCTCTCTCTCTCTCTCTCTTTCTTTCTCTCTTTCTCTCTCTCTCTCTCTCTCTCTCGCGACCTGCGGACTCCGCTGGCCCCGCAGACCGGTCTGGCGACCCCCTTCTCCGCTCCCAGATTAGCTCCTACCCGCCACCTGCTCTGTCGCGACACTGATTGAAATTCAGACTGGCCCCTGTTCCTTAACCCTGCAGGCCAGGGCAAGGGGAGGAGGACTGTTGGGAGAGGTTTGGCTCTGGAATCCCAGACCGCGGCCGTGCCTGGGACTGTCCCCTCGGGGGAAGAGAGGGAGGGGCTACCCCGGAGGACTTCCCTGCCCTCTGCCGTGCGAGTCTCCAGCCCACCTGTCCTGGGAGCCAAGGGTGGATCCGGCGTTGGGAAGCCCTGGAACTGGAGTTGCTTAAGCTTCTCCTCTCAGGGTTATCCTGCAAATAGGCGTGAAAAACTGGGCAGGCCTCCTGCCCTGCCCCATCCGTTCCTCAGGGTGGAGAGATGGAAGTGAAGCCAGGTCCTCCAACCTGCAAAACCAAAGCCAGCAAAACTGGATGGGCCCGGGACTTCTGTGATTAAACCTATCACTTCCTCTGGCCCTAGACCCCTGATAGAGTCTCAGCCTTAGAAGAAAATAGGTGGGGTTCAGCGCATTGGAAAGTCACTCGCACCCCCCCTCATTCCCCCCACCCACTGCCACCAAAAAAAAAAAAAAAAAAAAAAACCACCTGCAAGCAAAATGTTACCTCTATGCAGGGGTGAGTTCTCCTGAGTAGGTTCTCTGGCCTCCTAGGGTCTGAGAGTCTGGGCAGGATTCAGAGGCCTGGGAGTAGATGTGGACAGAAGCTTCAGGCGGCAGAAGTTACAGAGCTGGAGGCCTTTGGTCAATGCTGAGAATCATCCTTGTTTCTCATTCCTCCACCCAACTGTCCCGGACAGGGGACACCCACCTTGCTGTCCCCAACTCCCTACTGTGAGTTCCCTGGCTTTGCTCATTTGGGGAGCTCTTCCCAGGTTTTCCCTCCACTCTGTGGCCCATCCATGAACCTGGTTCTGCCTCCTGGGCAGCAGCTGGGAGGTTACATCAAAAACCTCAGGGGGCTGCAGAGACCTTAGTGATAAGTGTCTTTATTTTTTCTTTCTCTTCTCTTCCTCCTCTCCTGCATGGCCTGCCTCTCTACCAGCACTGGAAAGTCCTGTTTGATAAGGTATGTGAGCAGTTAAATTCCCCTCACCCTTTCCTTCCAGCCCTCCCTGAAATCAGTCTCAGTCTCCCTGCTTGCATGGGCTTTCCTAGCTCTGTGCTCCTGAGATGATGTTGTGGGATGGAGGCGTGGCATACTGCATCTCAGGCTGAGCAACCCTGCTTCAGGTATCCGGAGGAGGTGGTGGGCTCCCCTGAGAGAATCCCTTCCTCCCAACAACTCCCCCTGCATCATGGCTGGGTTTATACCATGTAGGAATTGGGCGATAGGTAGTTAATGCTTAGGAAGTTTCTGTACACAGGAGGATAGCAGTAGCAGGCTGAGGAGGTGGGGAAGGGGCTTGGATTAACCACCCAGTTCCCTTTCTACCTGTAAGACCCATGGCCATCACTGAAGTGAAATCTCTACTATCCTTGGGGAGTCAACTCATGATATGGGCTCTTTTGAAGGCTGATTCTGTTTCTTTAATTCTGCAATAGGGATGGAGGAGTACTGGGAAGTTACAAATGAAAAATGGTACATGATTGTTTGCAGTACCTCAAATCTAACTGTGAGGAATGGAGTTGGGAGTGCCAAGTGTTGACTTTGAGTCAAGAGATGGACATTTGACCTATACCAAGGAAACGGTTGTTTTTGCTTGGTGCTCGGTTGCTGTTGTGTATTTACTTTTCCCACTATGATCCATGGTGCAGGAGGAGAGGAGGCTGGAGATGGGGGTGGAGGGAGGCTGGGAATAAGATAGAGAAAACTGCAGTCCTGTAGTGACAGTGATTGTGCCATGAAGTTTGTATAACTTTAAAAGATTGTTCTGTTTGGACCAGAAGAAATGTGTGGAGTTAGAGAGGGAAATAAATATGAAACAATAACTTGATCCAGACCTTTGTTGTAGGCAGGGGGATGCCTTTGAAAGTTGTTGGGTTTTTTTGTTTGATTGGTTTTTTGTTTGTTTGTTTGTTTTAAGCAAATTGTTTTGGAATGCAAGCAATGCTTGGAAAGATACTGTGTGATAGTGGGTAGGGGTGAGATGGATTGCAGGGATGGAAGACAGTAGTCAGGGGCCTGCTGTAGTGAATGGACACAAGCACCTTAGGTTAGTTAGCTTTCCATTACTATAGTAAACATCTGAGGTAATCACATTATAAAGAAAAAAGGTTTTCTTTGGATCATGATTTTGGAGGTCCACAATTGGTCTGCCCCATTGTGAGAGAGCACATCCTGGCAGAAACCTGTGGTGAAGCAAAAGCCATTCATCTTATGACCACAGAGCAGAGAAGAAGAGACTAAGACCCCACAAGTCCCTTTGTGAGCACCTCCCTAGTGACCTAAATAGCTCCCACTAGCCCCCACCTCTTAAAGTTTTCACAACCTCCCAATTGCTCCTAGCTGGGGACCAAGCCTTTAATAGCTTTGGGAACACTTATCCAAATCATAGCATACCTTGCCTTGGTGACAATGAGAATGAAAAAAAAAAAAAGGGACATAGTGATAATAGAATGGAAGATATTAATAGAGTTGAATAACTGAGGGGAACCATATATCTGAGATTCTGAACTTAGGCGAAAAGGGAAAAGTAGAGGTGGGGGAGGTAAGCAAAATGACAGCTTTGATTCCAGATAAGTTTAATTTGCAGAGCCAGCAAAATGCAAAGGCCTTTAGTGGGACTGAACACATGGGATTACAGAGAGAAGGACATGGTGGACCTGGAGTGAGGATTTGCCGTTATCTTCCACCAGACTGACAATAGCTTGAGGACCATGATCTGGCTCCTGTCCTGATGTAGAATAGTCTCTTTTCCTCTGTTCCTAGTGCCATCTACACTCCCTCTGGTCCCTAAGAGTATAGCAGCTGCTGGCCTGATGCCCTGAGGCAGGAGGGAGCCACACTGTCACCATTGCTACCACTATCACCAAGCTGCCAGCCCTTCACACCTCCTGCCAGATTTAGAATGAGAACCTAGAACAAAGTGTATCATGCTTTTTCTCTGTGTCTTTCACATTTGACTAATTTCCTTTGCCAGTTCCTATGTGTGTGTTTACATTTTAAAACAAACCATTTGGATGAATGGAGAACTTTTAGTGGGAAGAATTTGGAACTCAAGAACAGTCCCGAGTAGAGAGTGTGAAGCAGTCAATATTACTGAAGATCAATAAAATCCAGTTGGAGGGAGATCCACGGCCTCCCCTGCTTCTGGGGAGGCCACTCAGAAATCATTCTGAACAGCTAAAAATAATTCTAGGAAAGAAACTACCAAAATTAGTGTAGACCATTTTTTCGTATAGGAATTTTAGCCTGTATGTACTCCCCAACCCTCATGAGGCATCAGAAACCTGTTTCTGCCTTCCTATTGGTGCTTTGTGTTTAAGAAGAGCTGCCCCTGAGGATGGCTTTGACCTCTGGCAGATGTCCAGTCCTTCTGCATTCATTGCCTCTGTCCTTTAACCATTCCCCTGACAGGGCGAAGGGAAGAGTAAGTATGAAGCTTCTCGAATGGACTCAGCCTCAGTAGGATGGCAGGTTCTTCCAAAAGCTGAAACGATTTATCCCTCCTCTTCCTCTGGGCCTGACTAAAAGTAGATTTGGCAAGTTGTGAAATTGGTACATGTTGGGAAAGTTTGGCTGGGTGCACCAAGTAGCCGCCCCAACATTTCCTCCAGAAGTAGACATCCCTGATAGGTCGAATGGTGGTGAATAGGACACATGACACCTGTCAGAATCCCTGTGAGCCAAGTGGTGCCTGAGTTCCCCTTCCAGAGGTCAGTGGTGTGGAAGGCTGGAACCATTCAGCACAGTCTCCCTCCCTTTCCTGGGTCAAGGAGACACCAGTGGCACCCAGTTTCAAACTGGACTCTGTTTCCCATGTGTTAGGGATGGAATTTGATCAACGTCTCCGTGCTATATGGTTCTTTACCATATGGAGTAGCGTTGACCTAGCATGAAGCTCCCTGAACCCCAAGGGCCACCATGTTGGCATTGTTGATCCTATGTGACCACCTTTCAAGTAAATGGCCAGGGTGCCTTTTATAAAGGAATTGGGAGTGAGCAGAGCAAGTCACCTCAGCCCCTTGGAAGTTTTCCTGGCCCCTTTATTTTTCTGGGTCTGGTCTGCTCATGCAGGGATACAGCATGATCAGTTCCACATCATCCCTTCTCACTTCTCTATGGGCCAAAGATACCACCAAAGGCAGGAAGCTTGAGGGTCATCAATTCACCTTCCAGATGTTCCATGGGTTCATTTCCTACTTGAACTTCTCCTTAAGGGAACTGTCTTTTCATAACTTTGGGATCTTGATGGTTTTCCTAAATATTTAAATAGGTTTTAAAGTTACCATAGGGCTGGGGGTCAGTCTCAATGGTACAGCACTTGCCTAACATGCACAAGGCCCTGGGTTTGATCCCTAAGCACTGCAAAAGTATTAACAGAAATAATAAAGTGACCATAAGTATTAACTTGCTGTTGTAGTGCAATACTGTATCAAAAAGGTTTTTTATTTTTCCATCATTGAATATCATTTCCTTCATGATTCCTCCATTGTTTCAGGCCTGAGACAATTTTCATCCCTCTCCAGGTCTCAACTAAACCCTTCTATGTCCTACTACTTTTCATAGTTATGTAACACTTCACTCCCCCTGGGTGTTACTGCTATCTGCTTACAGCTGCATTGCTTACTCAGAAACTCTTTATGGTGCTATAAATATCCATGAATGGGCCAGAGTTCCCTGGTGGGCTCTTGCTGTTGGGTGGAGACAGCTTTTCTGAGCCATAAACCCTTGGACATCCTTGTTTGTTCCACTGTGCTCAGAAGCTGAGTAGTGATGTAGATGAGCTGTGAGGATGTGGCTCTTCACCTTATCTTGTCCCATGTCATTACCTAGGACTCCTTCTGCTGTGGTGGACAGACAGGAGACAGTGGGAATGGGGAAAGGAACATGTCCCAGATCTGAGGCTCCCCCTTCCAGACACCAGAGGTCTTTACCGAATGTCAGCTGGTTCAGTGGCCCCACAGGCTGCCTCTGGCTCATTGCAAGTACTCACAGCCCTCTTTGAGGTCTTGGGCCTCTCCAGATTCCAGAGAGAGAATTCAAGCACTAGGAGCAGGAATCGGACATGGCCTTGTCCTGGAAATGCAGTTTGTGCAAGTCACAAATACCCAGTACATATGAAATAGTCAGGCTCTTCTCTTCCTTCTCTTGTGTTTCCATGCTGCTGAGTAAATTCTGAAGCCTTAGCAAAGCTCATTGGCCTGTAGCTGGAAGGGGAGAGGCAGGGCTGCTGTCCTGGGTGCTGAGCAGACAAATCCCAGCTCTGGCAGGGTTCGTTCCTGAGAGCTCAGGTCAGTGGCCCCACTAGGCCAGTCACTGATTTCTCAGCCCTTCCTGGGACCTTGTGTCCCCAGCCAACCTCTGGCTGGGCCTAGATCCCACAGACTTCTAGCTTTGCTGGGGCATTCCGGCATACAGCATAGTGTCAGCTACCTTAAAAGTCTGTGCCATTCATGAGCTGGAGGCAAAAAGCTGAGTCCAAACCACCAACAAAGGGACTGGCTTTCACAAAAAGGAAACATTACTATGGACTCATGCATTTTTCCTAAAGAGTGTTCTGCACAATGTTACTGTGAAAAACTACCATGATCAAATGTCAGACCGAGCAAGATCTCCACTGTAAGACCTTGCAGAGCCCCTCCAAGGGGGTTTTCCAAATTATGGGACCACAGAACCCTTATCTCATGCACCATCTTTGGTCTAGAGTTCCACAAAACAAATGTTGGGAAAGTCCTGCACTAGGGACTATGTTTCATACAACTGAACAGGATGGAGAAAAACAGGGGAAGGAAAGGTTAGGGCCAGTGAACCCAGTGGAGAAGCCAGAAATTATTTCCATCCTACTGGGCACAGTGGCTCAATCCCAACAACTCAAGAGGTAGAGATGGAGAGGATCCTGGTTCAAGGCCAGCCCAGGTAAAAAGCTAGTAAGACCTCATCTCAACCAATAAGCTGGGTGTGGT